TGAGGTTAAGAGTTTTCTTGCATTAACTTATTAATATAGGAGATTTATTGAGGAAATTTTAAAATAACATTACTTTTGTTTGGATTAATCAAGAAGAGAGAATTGCCTTTATGAAATAGTAAGTGAAGGTAATTTTCAAACTCTTAAGGAAAAATTGATTACTCGACTCTAGTAAGTCTTATGTAATGATGCTTCAAAAATAGGCTTGAGTAGATTGTTGAGGCAAGAAGGAAAGGTAGTAGCTTATATTTCTAGGCATCTAAGTATGAAAAAATTCATGAGAAAAAAAAAATTACCTTACCCATAACCTTGAATTAGAGATTGTAATATTTACACTTAAGATTTTGGAGACATTACTTGTATGATTCTAAGTTTGAGATATTTAGTGATCATAAGAATCTTACATATCTGTTTAATCTAAAGGAGTTGAATATAAGACAGAAGAGATAGTTGGAAACTATTAAGGATTGAGATTTTAATCTTAGTTGTTTGGAAAAAGCCAATGTAGTGGTCGATACTTTGAGTAAGAAACCTCTATATCTTCCCTTATGGTTAAAGGGATGTATCATTTAGCTCACATTAGGAATTTAAGCTTGACGTGTGAAATTACTCCTAGTAGTGTGAAACTAGGTATGACTCGAGTAAAGGATAGACTATTAAAGGAAACTAGAGAAACATAATTAGTTGATTCATTTTGATGGCAAGCCATGGGACCATAAGACAAGGTAGTAAATATGAGGTTGCCTTGAGTATAGATATGAGTTTGCCTTAGAGATTGATTATACGAACCTAGTAAACTTATGCTTAAGTACTTGATCCTTGGAGATGGTCATAAAAATTAAAGTAATATGGTGACAAATGCCTTAAGTAGGATGATCATTCTTTTTTTTTTTTTTTTTTTGAAACGGCCAAAGTTAATTGTTAGTTGTTAGTTGTTAGTTTTTGAAAATGTAAGGGTTGAATTTGATTGAGGAGATTAGAAACTTAAGCTTGATGTGTAAGCTCACCCTTAGGAACATTGAATTGAGTATGCTGAAAGGATTAATAGATTAATAGATGTGATTAGAGGACCCTGGAGTTAAACCCTTTCTTAGTAAGCCAAGTGGAAAAATTGGTAGAGGTATAGATAGCCCTTTACGCTTGAAAGTTCATAGTATTTTGGGATTCAAGGATTAAATCTTTGTGCCTAGTAATCTCGAATTAAGGAAGATGATCTTAGAGGAAGGACATAAAGAGCTACTAAGATGTATCATAGTGGCGCAGCGAAAGCGTGGCTGTCTAAGGTGAAATGAGGAGTAGAGAATTTTTTGTACTCGTGTGTAGTATGCCAGAATTCTAAGGTAGAACACTATAAGTCTTTAAGATTTTTACAACCTTTAGACGTCCTAATTTGAAAATAAGATTCTGTATCTATGGACTTAGTTGTAGTTATGTCTGTTATACTTAAGAAATTTGATCCTATTTGGTTAATGGATAGGCTCACCAAGTTTGCTCACCTTATACTTATTAACATCAGACATTCTTAGGAAAGATTAATAAAGTGGTATATTCATAAGGCAGTAAGATAACATAAGAATTAGAAAGCAAGATGCGAGGAGCATACCTATTTCTATTTTCAAGAAAATTTCGGGGACGAAATTTCTAAAAGGAGGGGAGAATTGTAACAACCCAAATTTTATACTTTATATTTATGAAAATTATTTTTCTATAGTTAATGATTAATAAAAAGGGTTCTTTTTTATATATAACATTTTAGAGATGTTAATAAATGATTATTATGTATTTATGAGATTATTAAAGGGATTTTTTTTAATTAAAAATAATAAAATAATTTTTTGGGCTCAGAACGGCCGTTCCCATAAAATTTTATGTTCAGTAAAATAAATAAATATATATACATATATATATATA